TGTTAGCACACTACCTGGTCTTGCAGGTATGTTGCAAGGAACGGCAAGGCCTTCGAAGACATGATCCGAGAGCGCGAAGGTTCCCCTTGCTTCCTGCCTGTGAGTTGTCTTCATCTTGATCTTCTGACTGTCAGGCGCCAACCCCAAGTTCACCTTCTTGCGCGAGAAAGGGGAGGGATGCGAATATTTCCGATGGAGGGTGTACTGCCTGCAGATGAAGTTTGAGAAGGTTGTGCTGTGTTTGTGGCGGTGTTGGTCTGAGACGGACACAAGCATGAAATGGATGCCATGCTGCGAGAAGCTTTCCCTCCGCTGGGCGAGGTCAGGATGATGGCGGAAGGAAGAATCTTGTCCTCAAGTTTGTTCCAGGAGGACCTCAACACTTTCAAGGAGATGTTGACTTCGCTCACGGGATCCAAGGATCACATGTGATGGACGAGATGAGATGTGGTGCGCTGTGAAGGTGAAAGACTGACGAGATGGTTGCGTTGCCAGCCGATCGATGCGAGCATGGATTATGTCCCACGAGGAGAACGTAGAGTTCATCTGCGAGCATTTCCACGCGCGGATTATCAGCATTAAGGTAATGTTGTGCACTCCTGTTTCTCCCTCCCCGACATCTCACGTTGCTCCCACTCGTTCTTGCACCGCAGGAGTTCCAACCAAGGTTACACATCGGTGATTGATACTCTTTGGAGCTCTGGAGGGATAGATGACGTGGACGGCAGTATATGTCCTCAACGACGTGCTGCATGCCTGCCTCAAGAAGCGGATGGATCCATCGATCATCGGTGGGAGGGAGGAGCCGTTGTGTTCCTCTGCTCTCTAACCTCTTTCTCCTCCCTTCCCTCTCTTGTCCCTCCAACTTGAGCAGATGTGACTTCGGAGAGGATCTTTCGACACGTCCTCCGTCTCCTGCACCCGACGTTCCAGGTTAGGACCGAGGGCAGGGACCTTGCCTCGGCCTCTCCTGAGTTCCCGTCCTACGCAGGACGAACCTGATGCGGAGAACAGAGGGAAGATCTCGAAAGTTCTCGGGCTCTGGAGGGAGAGGAACATTTTCTCACCTCAGGTCCTTGCCTGCTCGCACATGATGCCCTCCTCCTCATCTCTCCTCCTCCTACAGCAAGTGCAGGAGATCGAGCAGGCGATGTCGGACAGAAACGCTATCATACCCTCACCGACGGTAGGATCAACCTTGCTCTCCTTTGCGCCTAGCGACTGCCTTCCTCCTTCTTTCCTCCTCTGTTCTCTCTCCCCCTCCCCGCTAATTTCTACGACGCCCTGAAATGCCGGTTCTTTCTCAGGTCGACCTGGATAGCTTGGGAAGCTTTCAATCAGCGATGAGCAGGAAGCAGGTTTATGATCCTTTCCCAGGCTGCTGCCTCCCCGCTGACTTTCTCCTCCTACTCTTTTTCTCTCCTCCTCTCCTGTTCTCCTGTGCTACTCCTTCACAGCCTCCAGCTCCGAACATGCCTCATCCTCTGCAAGCTGCCCCTCCTTCCCTCCCTCCTCCCCTGCCCGTCCCTCCTCAGCATCCCTCGGCGCAAAACTTTGTCATCCCTCCAACCCAGAATTTTCACCCTCCTATCCCCCCACCTCAAACGATCCCTCCTCCCCTGCCCCCGGCCCAACAGTCCCTTCCTCCTCCCGCCCAGCCCCCCAAGGCTCCTATTCAGATCCAGCTCTCCTCGGCCCCACCCGCCATGCCCCCTCAGAAGCAGCTCCCCCTCCATCATGGATTCAGCTCCTCAGGTGACGCTATCGCCACCTGCCGTCCAGCTGACAGGCAGGCAGCGCGGCCACCGACCCAGGGCTTCAGCTGGAAGGCGCCCGACGAGATCCCAGCTGGGCTGGTCAGTGTCTGAGGCGGAGGCGGTCGGGCTCACCTGAACTCCAGCTGGTCCAAGTGAACAACCTGATGAAGATGGGCGGCAGCCCTGCCTACACGCCAATCCCGCCTCAGATTTGCCCGCCTGCTCCCCCGCCCGCTCCTGCTCCTACCCAGGTGGAGTTGCTGCTGCTGGTAGTGGTGGGATGGGAGGGGGAGGGAGGACAGAGAGTAGGAAGAGAGGGCAGGATGGTTGTGATGAGGATGGGAAGGAGGATAGGGGAGAGAAGGGGCAGAGGGAGCGGCGGAGGGCAGGATAGGTTTGAGAAGGAGACTTGCTGATCGAAGTCTGCAGAGCCTGTTGGACAGCCTGGATAAGTTCTACAGCGAGCCGATCGTGAGCTGGGAGGGAGCTGGGAAGGAAAGGGTTCTCTGACGTGTCACCAAGGTCAACCGCGTATTGCAGATGGCTCGTGAGAGCAATATCGACCCGGTTGCCTCCTGCCTCCTCCTCCTCCGCCCATCTCTTCCTCCTCCCTTGCTCCTCCTACTCCTTCTCTTCCCCCTATTCTTCTTTTCCTTTCAACACCCTTTTCTTCCTTCGCTGCTCTGGCTCGTCCCTCTCTGCTCTCCTTTTTTCCTACTCTCACTCTCAGGCCCTTGCTGATTGCTCGATTTTGGTTGCAGAAAAACGTACAAGACGTCAACAAGATGCAAGAAGAGGTTTCCTCCTCCTCCTCCTCCTCCTCCTCCTCCTCCTCCGCCCATCTCCTCCTCCTCCTCCTCCTCCTCCTCTCTTATCCTGCAAGCAGGAGGTTAACCCTGACGGTCTATCGGGAGTCCCAGCAACGAGGGCTGCTTTGAGCTGGTGAGGACCGCGGAGGAAAGCGGGGGCGGAAGGGCGCAAAAATGGATGGGGCAGTGGGGAGGAGGGATGCTAGGAGGAGGGAGGAAGCAGAAGGAGGAGGGAGGAAGCAGGAGGGAAAGAAGGAGGGAGGGATGGATGGTAAAGGAGGAGGGAGGAAGTGATGTCGACTCCTCCAGGAGCACGCCGAGGAAGATCGTCCCCAAGATCTCGAACCAGGTGAGGTGCTGCTGGGGTCCTGGTGTTGGTTGAGCGCCATGGCAGATCGTCGGGATCAAGAACCTGAAGAAGCAGACGGAAGAGGACGATGACGTGGCAGACGTGTTTAAGAGTATGGTCTGAGGAGGGAGGTGGGTAGAGAGGGGGAGAGGCAGCAATATTCTTACCCCTTGATAACGAACATCTATACCTCCTCCTCCTCCTCCTCCTCCTCCACCACCGCCGGCGCCGTCTTCGTCGTC